TTTAAACCACACCAAGTATGTGAACCCATTTTTTCTTGCCTTTCTGTGTTTGACAAGACTACTAGTAAAATGTTGAAGAGAAGGTACTTTCAGGGACGCATCGTAATTAGTAGGTTTGCTGTAGGTTTTTGATCAGGTTAAGAAAATTGTCTTCTATTCCTATTTTGTTAGAACTTCATTTGATCATGGATGTAAAATTTTATCATTTTTTTCTTTGTTTGATTGTTTGTTTGTTTGAGACAGAGTCTCAGATTGTCGCCCAGACTGTAGTGCAGCGGTGTGATCTCGGCTCACTGCAACCTCCGCCTCCAGGGTTCATGAGATTCTCCTGTCTCAGACTCTTGAGTTGCTGGGATTATGGATGCACACCACCACACCACGCTAATTATTTGTATTTTTAGTAGAGACGGGGTTTCACTATATTGGCCAGACTGGTCTCAAACTCCTGACCTGTGATCCACCTGCCTCGGCCTCCCAAAGTGCTGGGATTACAGGTGTGAGCCACCTCACCCAGACCAAATATTTTTCTTAATCAGTTGAGATGGTCATGATTTTTCTTCTTTGATGTGTTAATGTGATTAATTATAGGAATTTGTTTTCCAATATTAAAACAACCTTGCACTCCTTAAATAATTAAACTCAGTGTTGTCTTCATGTATTAAATATTTTATTATTTGATGAAACGAGATGGTCAATATTTTGTTTTAGATGTTTGTAACAATGCTAATGAGTGAGAGTGGTCTACAATTTTGCTATCCCAAACTTTCTTTACTGTATTTTCTATCAAGATTATGGCTCCTGAAATAAATTACAAAATATTTCTTTGTTTTTTACTTCTATTGGAGAGTTTCTGTAATATTGAGTTTCTTTCTACAGGATTTTGAAGAACATTCTGGGCTAGTGTATAATTGCAAATTTTAAACTATCCATTTAATTTATTTAATGTTTATAGACCAATTAAGTTTCCTTTTTTATTTGTAAAAAAAATGTGGTTTCTTCTTCAACATTTCCTCTTATCCTTTACATATCTATAGTATCTGCAGAATTATTCTGTTTTTTATTGCTTAGATTGGCCATTTCTGCTTTCTTTCTTCTTTTTAAACCATTTTCACTGGATGTCTTACAATCTTAACAGTCTTCTCAAATGAACAATTTTTGGTTTTGTTGATTTGTTTCCACTTAAGTTCTTTCTTTCTTTCTTCTCAGTTTATTTTGTTCATTTTCTAACTTCTTAATTTATATACTTCTTAATTTTCAGCCCTTCCTCTGTTCTTATATTAAAAATTTAAGACCATAAATTTTAAATTTTCTTGTTATACTTCAGCTTCACACACACACACACACACACACACACACACACACACACGTTGTTATTTTGTTCTCATCCGAGTTCTAAATATTTTTTTATTTCTATTATGATCTTTTCTTTGATCTATAAGCTAGGCCTGCATATATAATTAATTTTTAATCTTGGTATTTCTAGGTTACTTTTTGTTGTTTTTATCTAATTGGACACACTTTGTGATCAGAAAATGTCAACACTATGATACCAACACTTTGAAATGTCTTAGGATTTGATGTACAGCCTGGAACTTAGCCAATTTTTATAAATGTTCCACATTGCTTCAAAACAACACATTCTGCATTTGTTAGGTTCATTGTTCCATACATGTCTATTGAATAAAGCTAATTTATTGTATGTATTAATTTGCCAAGGCAGCCATAACAAGTACTACAGACTGGGGGTTTAAACAACAGAAATTTATTCTCTCACAGTTCTGGAGGTCAGAAGTCAAAGATCAAAGTTGCAGGGTTGGTTTCTTCTGAGACTTCTCTTCTTGTTTTGTAGCTGTTCATCTCCCTGTGATTTCACATGGTGTTTCCTCTGTGTCCAAATCTCTTCTTATAAGGACACCAGTCCTATTAAATTAGGGCTCACTCTAGTGACCTCCTTCTGACTCAATTACCTCTTTAAAAACTCTGTCTCCAAATATGATCACATTGTAATGGACTTGGAATTAAGACTTCAATATACGAATTTTGGGGGAGATGCAATTCAGTCCGTAACATAGCCCTTTGCAAATTCTTCATATCCTTCAAGATTTCCTTGCTGATTTCATCAGTAAGGTGCTGAAAGAGCAGTCAAATTTTCCAATGTGATGATGAATTTTTCTATTTCTCTATAAAGTTCTCTCGATTTTTGATTTATGATTTTGATTTTGAGGCTATGTTATTAGTGTATTTAAGTTTAGAATATTTATAGCTACTTGGTAAATTAAACATTTGATTATTATGGAGTTACCTCTAGCTCCAGAAATGCTTTTCCCTTATATTTTATTTTGTCTGTTAAAATATACTTACACTAGCTTTCTTCCCATTAATGTTTGTGTGGTAAATATGTTTTCATCATTTTACTCTCTACTTTTATCTTTAATTTTTTGGTAGCTTGGGTTTTTAAAATTCAGTCTAACAATATTTTTCTTTTAAATAGAGTATTATGTCCATTGGTATTTATTATCATCAAGAGAATGTACTTTGATCTTTTTCTATTAACCTACTTTATGTGAGAGACAATATAGAAGTAGTCTTGAAGAGAATAGACCTCCGAGAAATACTGCCTTGGTTTGAATATCAGCTCTATTACTTACTACCTGTGTAACCTTGGCCTAGTTACACAGTCTGTGCCCCAGTTTTCTCATCTGTAAAATGGTTATAGTAATAACCCTCCCTCATAGCATCATTATAACTATTGAGTGAGCTAATATAAATAAAGTGCTAAGAACACTGCTGGGCACATGATTAGATATATACATATATCTACTTTCTGTTAATTTCTTATCATTGCTTTAAGTTGACATGTTTTTTCTGTTTCTTTTTTTTTCTTTTAAATTGTCAGAATGTCTTTTCTTATTTGATTTCCTTCTGTCCTCTGATTTGGAAATTATATTCTCTTTCTTGTTCTTTCGGAATTACCCTGAAAATTTATCAAATGTATTTAACTTGTCAAAGTTTAAAGCCAGTTCTTATCTTTACCCTCCTCTTGAACAATACAAGAGTTTTGTAGCACTTTAACCCTAATCATCTTCTTTCTGACTTATACATTATTTCATATTCTAGATTTTTCTCAATTTTAAGCCTCACAAATTTTTATTATTGCTTTGTATATTCAGTAATTATTTGGTTTTACTCATATATTTGCTTTTTCTTCAATTATTTCTTTTTACAGCTCAATTCTTTCATCTGATAACTCTTTCAGCCTGAATTATATCTTTTAAATTGAGTCTGCAGGTAGAAACTTTTGTTTTTACTATCTAAAAATATCTTTATATCATGCTCTTTTTAAAAAGAAATGTAACTTATTAAGAGGGTTTGTCAACAAACATAGATTCATATCTTCTTTCAGTATATTGGAGATATAGTTTCAATATGTTTTAGCGTCATCGATTTTTTTTTTTTAGCTCCATAGTTTTAGCTTCCGTATTTGCCATTGAGAAATAAGATTGCTTTTAAAACCCTCACCTTTTGTTCTTCAATGTGAATAAGGTGCTTTAAATATGGGTTTCTCTTCAATTTATCCTGGCTAATTCTTGGATCTATGGATTTGTGCCTTTCATCAATTCTAGAATAGTCTCAGCCATAAAATCTTCAAATATTATCTCTCCTTTTTAAAATTTCTTTCTGAAAGTCATGTTAGATATGTTAGACCTTACAATTCTATCCATCATGTCCTTTAACCTCTTTTATATTTATTCTTTGTCTCTGTTAAATTTTGGATAATCTCTTCCAATCTGTTTTCTACTTTACTTTCTTTACCTGTTAAACCAATTCATGAAAGTTTTTTCCATGTTTTAATCTCTAGAAGTTCTGTTTAAATAATTTTAAGATCTATTATTTAATTACTTTTAAAATGCAATTCGTTTGTATTCTGTGTCTGATAAATAAATGCAGTTCTTGAAGTCTTTCTGGGTCAGACTTGGCCTTCTGCTGTTTATATTTGATCTTACTATGCATTGTTTGTATATGTAATCTCTCTCTCTCTCTCTCTCTCTCTCTCTCTCTCTCTCTCTCACACACACACACACACACACACACACCCCTATTTCTCTAACTCTGTTTGTTTTTACTATGAGCTCATGTTTCTTGCAATTTTATAGTGATATTTTGAGGCCTAGGTTGAAGGTGAGGTCATTGACTTTTGCTAAGTGCCTGAGAGCACATCTTGCACTGGACCTCTTTAAACTAAATTACCATCTTGAGGTTTCTTAGAACACAGAGGTACTGAAAACTTGATCTGTTAACTTGTGTATTCATTGGCTTGCCATTAAACATTTTTAGGGCAGCTTCCTCAACTCAGCACCCAAATTTAAGGCTAACAAATCTCTTTGTAGATTTAGAAATATGGTGATTTTAGAGAAAGCATAACCATTTTTGGCACTAGCTTTATGTAAGGAGATTTCTATTAGACTCACTCTCTAAGCATACTCTCAAGTTTGACTCCTGTCCCAACAAGGACCAGTCATGCAATTGTACACTACATAATTCAAGGGTGCATCTTTCATATAAACTACACCTTTCTTGTAGTTATACATGTCATCTACATGAAAGGTGCCCTTTGATAATGTTCAGTTTCCAATCTGCCAACTATATGTGATGGTTCTGTCACTATCCCCACAAGATGGTGAAAACTAAAGTTCAAGTTCACCAGGTTCAGCAAGTGCCCTCCAGGTGAAAGCTGGGTTTGGTGTTTTGGTTTTGTAATTCCATTACTGACAAAACTTGAATGAAGAGTAAAGACAGTGCCTCCTCCCTTTGAAGTCCATAAAATGGTAGGTATATTGATATCTTATGAATTGAGTTGCCAGTCATGATTTTAACAAAAATACCTATCACTTGCTTCATTAAAAGAACTGTAATTTCAATGAAAATACCTATCACTTGCTTCCATTAAAAGAACTGTAATATGCTGAGAGCGTTTATTGCTTTGCTTTGTTTCTTTTTAGATATGGACTTTCCAGTTTTCCTCCAGCCTACAAACGCAAATGAGAAAACACAGCTAATCAAAGAAGGATCTCGAAGTTATTGCACAGACTCTTGATACTGAGCCCACAGAGTCCATAGTCCTTCCTCTCAGTTCAATCTTGTCTCCAGATGGTCGTGGGGAGCGTGTGGGGCATAAAGTGCTGTGAACTTTTCCATCTTGGTATTTTATTTTTGGGTTAGGAAAACATGCTTACTATATAATTTTCTCAGTATGCAGACTTTCTCTCTGAGTAGAATTTCTTATGAAACACATTCAATTTGGGTGAATAAAGGCCTGAAGAGTTATTTTATGCTCCTTGCCTGATGTAGGACAGTGGAATTATACAGGCTTTATGAACCTGCCCTCTATGTGAGGCAGACCTGATTCTTAACTGACTAAAGTAATATTCTAGAACAGAAGACACTTTTCTTCCATTTAACTATACACAGTATTCATAGCTACCATAAACATCATTCAAATATATGAGAACTTAACAGTTTTTGTGTGTGGAACCTCTTTCCTGTCAATATTCAATAAAGTTATAGAAATATTTAAAGAGGCAGAAAGGAATGATTAAATTTTAAAAAAACAAATCACATTATTTTAAGGTATGTTTTTGGAATATTAAAAATTGGCATTTACTAAAAATTGGTAAGTAAAACCATGAAGAGACAGGTTTTGTGTATATTTGTAGAATGGCTTAAAAACAAAACAAAACTGCAACCTGGTTAAATGTAAATTATCCAGAAAAATAATCCTGAGCCTGAAGCAGCCCCCATCAGCATGTTGATCACTTTCTAATACAATAATTTTTTTATAACTGGGTCAGATTAGCCAGACTAAGGGAAAAAAAAAACACAAGAAAGGGTAAAGCTCTAAAGTCTATAGCAGGCGTCCCCAAACTATGGCCCATGGGTCGCATGTGGCCCCCTGAGGCCATTTATCCGGCCCCCCGCCGCACTTCAGGAAGGGGCACCTTTTTCATTGGTGGTCAGTGAGAGAAGCATAGTATGTGGTGGCCCTCCAATGGTCTGAGGAACAGTGAACTGACCCCCTGTGTAAAAAGTTTGGGGACACCTGCTCTATAGCCTAAATTTGCACCAAGATGCGTATCACATCATTTATGTTAAAATTAATTACCGTGACCAGAAATTGCTCTGCTCCGTGCATGTTACACAATTTAAGCCCAGAGGTCATCTCTGCATTTGCCTGTTTGATTCTTACATTTATTATGTGGTAGAAACCATGTGCTATTTCTAAACTACTATGGCAGCAAAAGTGTTTGTTTTTCTAGGTCTTTCTTACTTCTTTATATAATATTGCATTTTCAAGATCTTGTTACGTTTTTATATAATGTTGTATAAAATGCCTTTTTTTTCTTGTTTCTTATTCCCCCCACCACCAAATTATAGTCAATTGCTGCTAAATATATATTGTGAGAATTAGTGGTATAGCTCTGACAGTTCTGAAGTTATTAAAATTCTGCTCTAACTCTTGAGTTACTGAATTTTTTTTTCTATATAATTAAGTAGACAGAGACTTGGTTTGAAAGTTTAGAAACCTAGTTCTAATCTAAGCTTTCATTAACTAGCCTTGTGACCAAGTGATATGAGAATAACATGGCTAATCTCTCTATGGCTCTGTTTTCCTATCTGCCCTGACCACCTTTCAAGTTGCTGGATGACCAGATAAAATGAGAAAGTGAAAGAAATCTGAAAAGTCAAATATGTAATAAATATAAGGTGGTTTTAAATGAATTTGTATATGTTGACACACACAGACAAATGTACTGTGACTCTTCATGCATGTAAACTCTGTCACCCAACAAGACCCATGGAGACACCCGGTATTAACAGCTCCAGTAACCAGCAAGTGCTTGGAACGCTGTACTCAACAAACAAATGCTACTTTCCATTTGGAGGAAACAATAGGATAAATAGCCCAATCTGCACATAATTTGAGCCATTCCATTTCCTTCCTGTCATCTTTTTAAGCAAAAGGTCAGGTCTACTTTGAAAAACAACTTACAAATCACAAACCTCTCCTTCTCTTTATCACCCAGACCTCATTTTCCTTTCTCACATGGAATTTTTTGTTTCCACTCCTAGCTCACCCAGGAGGCTGGTCCAAGAGTGGTTAAAATGAGAACAGGGCAGGGATCGGAATCAGAATCAGATGATAGAATCAAATTGCTAGAGGGGTTCTGGCCAGTTCCTCACAAAGGGCTAGTTTCTGATTACAGTGATGTGTGTCAAATGCAAGCACATGAATGCCTATGAATGAGGGAATGAATTCTGCAGAATGTCCCTTCAGCTACAGAGAAACAAGAAGCCACTCTTCATCAGAAGAGGAACTGCTGAAATATCTTGTGGGGGTCAACAGAAGTGCTATCCAGAAGCACTGGCAGTCATTCTGAACCCACAAGCATCTCAGCAGGGAAACGTTAAGGCAAGAAGAAAAATGCTGAGTGTGAGTCTCAGCACTGGTCAGAGAGTCCAATGAACAGCCTGTGTTAGCGGCTCACTACCTATCCTGGGCACTGTGCTGCCAGAATGGGAGACTTCTTAAAAAGTTCCATGAATCATCCATTTATTTTTTTGCTGTCTTACATTAAAACACGATAAAAAACATACATGTGTGTTTTTCTTTACCAAAACACACATATGTATCTTAATTCTTTTAGAATAAGTCTTCTAGGATACCTAGAATGAAAAAAAAAACTGTTTATACATTGATTAATTTATTATTATTATTTTGAGACAGAGTCTCACTGCAACCTCTGCTTCCTGGGTTCAAGCAATTCTCCTGCCTCAGCCTCCCGAGTAGCTGGGACTATAGTTGCATGCCACCACGCTCAACTAATTTTTGTATTTTTAGTAGAGACGGGGTTTCACCATGTTAGCCAGGCTGATCTTGAACTCCTGACCTCAGGTGTTCTGCCTTCCCTGGCATTCCAAAGTGCTGGGATTACAGGTGAGAGCCACTGCACCCAACTACATTAACTTCTTAGCATAATAGTTTTAAATAAAATGCTTTCATTTCAAAAAATAAATTATTGTATTTGCCATGGAAATTCTTTTTTAAAATCAATGTGTAACATACTAGAAAATTAAATTTTAGCTACCAAAACTTGAAAGATACATATTATTCCGAGTCAAAGGGTAAAGTTTCAACAAAATAAAATGAGTCACTTTCCTGCTCATCTTCTGCATTTCTTAGCTCTCTCTTTTACCTCTTACCACCACATCTCATCTCCCAAAATAGAGGATTTGAAAGTGTTGGCTTTAGGTTCATAGGCACACTTACTTGTATTTGAGGAAGATGACTTATTTCATAAAAATAAAATTTCTAAAAGATTAATAACCAATAGTTTTCATGCTTAGTACCAGACACAGCCCTGAGTTTTATATTGATTCATTTAATGCAACAATCTGTGAGACAAGTACTGTCACCATCATCATCTGCCATTTTTTAGACTAAGTAACTAGAACACAGAAAGATAAGTAACTTAACTAAGATAACCCAGCTAAGGAGTAGAGCAGGCTGGTCCTGAGGCCACGATATTAATAGCTGCACTATATTGCCTCTCCAGGATGATCTTGCGTTTCCGACTCCATTTGTTCTTGAAAATGAATCCTACTCTCCTCCCAACTCCCCATCCAATTCTTTCCCAGAGTTCTCTTACTTTCAAGAGAATACACTCATTCTGTCACTCCCTTTATTATCTACCTCTGTCTTCAATTGCCCTTTGCAACTCAAGGAGATTCTCTAAGGAATCGCTCTTGTTAATTCCCTGTGACTTCCTCAAGAGCAAATCTGAAGGCTTCCTGTATCTCTTACTTCACTCCCACTCCTTCCCCTCTGACTATTTATTCCCTCCCTCCTCCCCAAGACAACCCCCTCCCACCCCCCGCCCCAGCCAGCACCTCCTTACCTGGGAGATCTTTGTGATCATGGCAGCTATGCCTTTGCCACCTTCTCTTCTCTGACTAACCATTAACTGCAACAGTAATCAAGTGAAAAGTTGGATTTAAAAAAATTTTTTTAAGTCATTCTAGAGTAGCTAATACTAATTATTGTGATTTTTAAAATTCTGATACATAAACTTCCTGCTATAATTTTCCAGGATGTTTAGATAGTGCTAAGAAAACTTTCAAAGATAAAATAGGAAACATATATTATGCTTACTATGTGCCAGTAAGGTATTACCTTTTAAAAAGTTCTTTGACATTGGACAATGCCCGAGCCACTCAAAACCCCACAGTTTACTATCCCCAGCCCAAGCCCCTTTGTCTTGTCACAGCCCTAATATTTATCATTCTTTGTTTAAAAAGGTACATAAGCTTTTGGACCTAATGTCTTTGGGTCTTCGTTTTTCTTATAAGGACTGCCATGCACATATAAACATTAAATAAGATGTGTATGCCACTGTGACCGGCTCACATTTATTCTTTAACCAAATATTTATTTAGTTTGTACTACATGACAGTCACTGTTCCAGAGCTGAGGATACAGCAGTAAGCAAAGCAGACACAAATCTCTATCTTGGTGGAGCATACATTCTGGAAGGGCAAACAGTCATGTACTTTCTTTTTTAAGTTGTTATTTTCTCCCAAATGTATGGTAAACACAACATGAAAGAATATACTGATATCTGTAAAAATGGCTGTGTCCTGGGGACAATGAGGCTTTGCATTGGTGGTGCATGGGTGGGGAATAGCCATGCTGGCCCAAGATCCCCCAACCTGCCAACTCAAGGACACACTCACTGTGAGAGTTGGGTAGGGTGGCCTTCCTGTTCCCTCCATCTCTATTAGGCTCTACTCTGCCCTGCTCCCTAGCCCTATACCACTTCACAGACTCTAGTCTGGCAAATCTACTCTGCTTAAGCCATTCTCCAGCGGACTCTCCCTGGCAACAAATTCAGCAACAGCTGCACAATGTTGTGAGCGGCTGACCTCTGTGCTGCTGCCTCTGTGACTGCAGTCTCTTGTGAGCTCCATGGGGAGAATGGTTTTGTCTCCGCTAGCCTGCAGAATGTGCATTTGGAGTTGTGTTTCTCTCCATTTTGGATTATGTGTCCATATAATCTCATTTGATTTCCACCTTCCAGAAATTATTTAAAATCTCTGGTTTGTTGATTATACTTATCGTAGTTTTCCATGTTGCAATAGATTTTTTTTTCTTTTTGTGTATTTTTATCACTCCTGGGAAGGAGGGGGTGTAGTCATATGTGCCCAGCCATGCATGTAATCCTGATCCCTGGACACAGTGGGTGAGCACCTAAGTGAGGCCGAGAACAATGGAGAGTTTGGCAGTCAGGCCTGAGAAACAAAAGTAGCTCTCTGTGTGATAGACTGTGAAGAATAAAGCTCCAGAACTTTTAGGGTTCAGGACAGCACCATGTTTCCAACTGTGTGCACTAGAGAGGAGCTGAGAAACACTGAGAGAGAAAACTTTAAGGAGGCCTAGTTACATTTCATCCTTGGTTTCCTGGGGACACCCCTGTATCATTATAATAAACGTCTTGCTTATACTAGCTTTTGTGAATTTCTGTCT